GGGGGGGGGAGTAGGGGTAGGGGGAAATGTCGCGCTCCAAACCAACTGCAAGAGCCATGAAGAAGTTCCAACGTTACGTGCGGTGTGTGTTGCGTGCGGAACCTTGGTAAGTTGCCAAATCATGACGGAATTTCTGAAAATTCAGTCCTTCTCCAGATTTCTTCTATCACTGTTCTTTATGGATTATAAACGTAATACGTCAACAATAGCAGGCATCCTCATTCTTTGACACGGATATGTTCAAGAAAACATTTTGGAAATCGATTCCTTTATTTGAGTTTTCAAGGGTTGTGAATTTCCCTTTTTTCACCCTTCGTTTTCAGGACGTATTGGAGTTGCATTGTGTTTTCTAGAAGCAGGACATGAAAAATACGTTCTTTGGTGGCCAGTTCTTCGTCGAACCCGCCGGAAATCCTCCTGCTTTGAGACTTCGCTTCCATCTCTTAAAACAAAATCTTGCTCATTTTTCTATGTGATGTTGTTTTTCAACCGCTTTCTAATTTCTAACTTCACCTACGACCTAATTTCTGTATGTTACGTTGTACCCTTTTAAAGCTGCAGAGATTTCTTGCAGTTTCATGTACATCGTTCTATGTGAAGAACTCGGAACCGTAACGAATTTACCCATACCTGAGTTTTCAGTGATGTTGAGAAGCGCCTTTGTCGTAGGCGCATCGGGTGCAGTAGGAACGCAACTGATTGATGCCTTGGTTTCATCTCGTCAATTCAAAAAAGTCCTTATTATTGGAAGAAGAGAAATTCCGCTAAAGCATGAGAATGTGGTAGGTCCGTGTATCTCCAAGCTTTCTTTGTTGCCTTCTTGTGGCTGTACAAACACGGAGTAGTCGTGTTGTTACAGTTTTCCGTCAAAATTGACTTATTGTTAGAAGCCTGTATTAACTGCTGTGTAAATGATAACTAGTTGGTGACAACAGCTGTATAAATCGGCTCACTAGCGCTTTTCTTACAAACGGCTTTCTAAAGGTCTGTTGCAGTCGCTAGTTCATCGCTTTTCAGAGTTTATATTTTTGTTTTTACTACACATTTATTATGTATTGAGACTTCCAAAGATGACTGACGTACTCATCGAGAAAAACTATAAAGTCTTAGGTCATTACAGGAGCAAGCTGTGATTAATTTTGATGCAATTGAAAACCATGCTGATGTGTTCAAAGATATGGATGTTGGATTCTGCGCTCTTGGAACGACTCGTGGTAAATCAGGAAAGGTAAGCTGTCCTAATTGCATTCATCTCTTTCTTCCCTGAGAAAAACTCTAGAATTCCCAGTGAAAATGTACTTGTCAGTTCGTAGCCTCATCAAACAGCATAACCAGTTGTTTTTTTTTATCGAAATAACCCGATTAGGCTTATTCCTTTTTCAGGAAGGTTTTTATAAAGTGGATCACGACTATGTGCTGAATACTGCTAAGGTTGCTAAAGATCAAGGTAAGTCGAATTGCTTCTGTTGCATCGTTAAGTGCAGTGATTTCAACATGATGCCTTTAGTAAACCCTTTTTTCCTATAGGCGTGAAAGAGTTCATTTTGGTTACCTCTATGGGATCGAATGAAAACTCATGGTTTCTCTACCCAAGAACCAAGGTATGGCAGCGTTAGCACCGAGTTAGTGGCGGACAATTTCATCGATCTTTGAGAGTTTCAGGGTGAAGTTGAGCGGGACGTTGCTGCTCTTGGATTTGATAAATTCCTCATTGTACGGCCTGGAATGCTCGAAGGCCCAAGAGAAGGTTGGCTTGATTAGTACCTAATCTTGTTTGTTGAGAGTCTCTATTCAGCGGAGACGATTTGGAAAAATGAAATGGAATGTTTTCCTAACATTTTTTTTTGGAGATTAGCTTAGTAAGTCGTGGATTCAGAAAAAAATTTGAGTAGTAGTAGAGTTATTTTGTGTATGAGAAAGTTTTTGTGTCAAAAGTATGAAAGTATCCTAAGACAGTAGGAGTTCTCTATCACTTTCGCAGTAATAGCTTTCCATAGGTGCTGTTCTATCAGTAAACTTGAAAGTTTAGCAGGATAAGCTGGTTCTCGACGATATTTCTATGTTGATTATTTTTTCTGCTCTTTTATGACGTCTCATAGTAGTTCTAATTATAGAGCATCGCTTTGGCGAATCTTTGGCGAAAATTTTCGTCAAGCCCTTAAAGCTGCTGAGCAACTCGATAGCCATTTCTACGACCGATGTTGCCAAGGTATTTTTCTTTCTCCTTTACGATGTTCTGTGGAGATGATGTTTGGAGAACGTCATTAAAAAATCGTTCATTGAGCTTTAGAATAGACTGTGAATTTTAGTGTCTTAAACATCACTGTGTTATTTTTACTGAATAATGCTTCTTTTTCGTAGGCCATGGTTGTCGGAGCTTGCTCAAACGAAATTAAAGGTAAAGTGATTTGGGACAATGCAACGTTGCTCGAAAAGAAGGAATCTTTTGATAATTTATGCAAATAGATGAAGGTGCTGATATCACATTCCGGAAGTGCAATGCTTGTTTACTGCTTATGGTTGTGCTTATGCGTTGTTTGTATTTTTCAATATTTTTTTTGTAATTCGACACATATCTTGAATCTTCATGATGTGCCGGTGAATCGCTAGCTGGCTTTTGCCTCGTTTGTATACGTGTAAAGAGCCGATTTTATCCAGCTTTCAGTATTGCCTCGATGCTTATGTTGTGATATAAAACTACTTAACAGTTGTTTTCCTTCTAAAGTTTACAAACAGCTACTTGTATGGTGGAATGACTTGCTTCTCTTTTGAAGGCACATTTTTGCTTTTTACAAGCGCTCAGTGAATTCGGCTTTAATCCATAGAAGCCGATAATCACCCTAAGTATAGTGGTATGGTTGAATTATTAAGGAGAAAAACTGGGATGTCTATGAAAGCTCATATTTAGTAATTTGGTCTGGTCTTTCTCTGTAATTTTATTGAAGCTGGTGTTGACAACAACGATATGCCACTTCGAGCATCCCACCCATTCGTAATGGCTCCACCCACGAATGGAAGTGGAATAGTAGGTGAAGCCTTTCTATACTAGTACAGGAGTGATCCAGTCGAGCTAGTGCAGCCATTCTAATGTCCCCTGCCTTGCGCCGTGGAAAGCTGGTTTTTTTTTTCGCGAATCTTTTGTCACTGCCCACGATTGGGCAAGTTTTTGAGAGATTTTCTGAAGGTCCCAAATTTTCTAAGAATTGCTTCTGGTGGTTGCTTTTTAATGTTCCCTACTCACTTTGTGAGCGTGTTGTTGTTGTCGGCTGCTACTAAATCAAACATCAGATGTAATGGCTCTGTTTATTTCGTTCTTATCAACACCCACTGCTGCAGGTTTTTATTGCTCTGAAGGTAGCTTTTGAAGAAGTTGGAGGAGAGAGGTAGTAAAGTCTGATGTGTTGGAGGCAAAAATAAACACGTGTTCAAAGATCAGTTCCCGGATTGAGACCCATGATAAACCAGATCTCGTAGATTCGGCTCGTTCAACATTATTCATCTTGTTTGGGAAGGCAGTAGGGATTTTGGCCATGCATCCAGTTTCTGGTATTGTTTGCAGTGATAGAGCCCAATTTTCAATGGGAAAATTAATGATTTGGGGGAAATAACTCCCTTATTAGGACCTTTTGAGACTTCATCTAGAAATCGCCTCTGTTCCAGTGAAGAACGCGCGACGACCTTCTAAACCTACCCCCTATCTTCCCCTTGGATTTTACCCACTAATGGTCTTCCGGTGTGGACTACTTGTTTCACAGGTTATTTTCTGATGGCATGAAATGACGCTTGATTACCACATCTTCATTTGCCATGTAGTTCGAACGCATGGCGCAGTCCAAATTCTGTCTCTATATGTTTCCTATGGATACTGCAATTGAAAAAATCATGACAGGCTTCGCCCTTCGTTCTTGAAGATGTTCTCCTTGAAGGGCCTTACCAACAGTCTCCTGCTTCCGTCGAGCTGGAACGCTATTCAGCTTTTCTTTCTGAATCTGAGTCATGGTACCGGGACCTTGGCAGGGGTAGAGGAATATATTATAGAAGGGCTCCCATTCCAGTAAGTATCATCATCAATGTGTTGCAATAGCTTTTCTTTGACCTGTTCTATCTCTTCATTTCCCGATAACTCCTGCCTGTTTGACCACAAGGTCACTATGCAGGTGTTTATCTATTCGATCGATACTGTTTACTACTAGTGCTTATCAATACCGGCAACTTCTTACTCCACTTTCGATAAGCGGCCAACTAGATTTAGGAGGGTCGCCTTAGCTGCTCGACCATTTCATTAGAAGGTCTCATTTTTACGCCCAAAATTTCTGTTTCAACACCAAATAGCACTGATAATAGGCTTTCCGACCGTGATGGGAAACGTTTGAGGAGATTAATGGATTTCTTCGTAGCGGGAAAAGTTCAGCAGTTGTTACACGATGTGAACAGCCGCGTCAAAGTAGGGGAGAAAGAGGGCAGAGAGAGGGAATCCCTGTCAATTACTGGGAGGTCCCTTGGTCTCCAAGGCCCGGCGACGATCTACGATACCTACTTACAACAGACGCACACACCCAGACACGCAAACACATCGGGCGTGTGTAGATTTCGCTTTTTCCCAATCACCCATTCCTCTATCGATCACCACCACCCATACACGAAGGACATTGTCACGTGTAGCTCAAACGGGGCTATCAGGCTATCGTGTCATCCCTATTTGATATTTCTCTTTATCATTCTTTACAAAACATGATCATATGCTCTCTGGTCTCGATCGAATTGTATTCGAGGCGGCGGCAGACCGTAGGAAAAACTCACGCCGTCGTCGCCGTTTTAATTTGATTCCTTGTCGGTCCCGTCTATTTGGGCGATTAGCATTCCCGAGTTGTCTTGTTGGCAATAATCGCATTATTTACGCTCCTTTCCCTCTTGTTTACTTGTGAAGCTTGTTTATTTATTTTGCCACCTCTGAACAGGTTATTCTTAGGTTGGCTTTCTTTTTCTTGAAAAAAAAAAACAAATCGATCCATTTAGTTTTCGTTATCTATTTGTCTGCTTCCTTTTTTCACATGCGCTTTTATTGTTCTTCCTCGAACCTTCACTTGAATGACTATCGATTTTTTGGGAATGATCCTTGCGGATCATATTTATGGTTTATGAATTACCACTATTATGCTTTTAATGTTTGAGAATTTGTTGTTTGTTTCTTGTAAATAACTACACCTGCATTACAATACTCTGATGGGTTGAATTTTCAAATAATTTTGGCAACAAAGCCCTAGATAAGGTCTCAGGTTTTTCCCAAATGTTGATTTTTGCATCATTTTTTTGTCTGATGAAATAAAAAAAACATTTTATCCCATACGCACGTATTATTTGTACTGATCAAAACAACTTTTGAGCAGTTATTTGTTTCGTTTAATTTAAATGAGGGCGTAGTTTGCGAAGGGGGTGGAGTTCGCCAGGCACGTCTCGTGCCCGCATTGCCATTACTCCTCTAACGGCATAAATCATTGTAAGAAGTCAATGATTTTTTTCAGAAAATATGACTGATGATTAGGTTTTTTTGCAATTTTGGAAAATGGTTTCTCGAACCGCTATATCATCAGCTCAAGGAATGGTCGGTTAATTCATGAACTCAGCCTGTGTGTTCAATAATGCGAGTATCCATGAAAACAACTCATTTCGCAGTAACTTCTACGATAAATGAATATGCATATGGTGCAGATGTCTTGGATAAATATTTGATGCTGTTGGATGAGAGATTGAAAAAATAAAGAGGAACAAAAATAAATTTTATGTTGTTTTGCGAAAAATTACAGCAGTGTTGTGCATGTTTGTGTGCCATCAGATGAATCAATCTTCTTTTTGTTCAAAGGCATCATTTGACATTCAATATGTAAGTCCCACAATTATACAATCAATTACACAATTTGTTACTTCTAACAGGGTGGTCATAAAGTTTGAAGAAATTAGGGGAAACGTAGTTTCAGAGCAAGAATTTGGTATTACTCTTGCAAAGCTCTGGTCTGTCATATTTCAGTGATTCCTGACGATAGCAGCAAGTGATACTAGTCGATACTTCCGACCAAAAGCCCTTTTCTGCTTTTTTTTTGACTGAGTTTAGCGGTTGAAATATATTTCAAGAGTCTGGGTAACGGTGGACAGGTCTAAATAGGGTGAGAATCAAACTCATGCATTTGCTGTCAGGCTGAGGTGCCTACCCCATTTATTATTCAGGCAGGGCTAGGAAATTTTCATGGCGAATACTTGGCCACGCAATACAGAGGTCAAGTGACGCCCCCTCTGCGGACTCCGCCCCTAGCAGAGTCGTCGTTTTTTTTAGAATTTCTCTGTCAGCGTCCGCTGTCAATAGTTAAATTATCAATAATTAATAATTTTCGGTCTAACTTCGAACCGTCACTCAATAGAAAGGGCGAATATCGCTGTACTTAGCGTTATCATAGCGAAAAAAATTTTTTTTTTGAAGAAAGATTCTGATGCTCAATAATTTTCATACTCAACACTGGGTGATAAGGCTTATCGCTCGATTTTTGTGGGTAGTTTTCGCAGTAAAACTTCCTCGAAATGTAGCTAATGACAGCTATTACCGATAAGGTCATTACTTCGGTCGATCGGCTAATGCGTGTGTTCTGTTAAAGCAGAAAACTACGCATAAAATCACAAATCCGATTTTACCAAGGTTTTCCAATCCTGCTATTCCCCCACGATTGCGTCCACTTCATTCCGAAAGAAACCAACAACTGAGTGAACGTTGACTGGAGCTGTACCATGTAATTTTTTGTGCCATATGAGCAGTTGAACCCCCTGCCGTTTGAACAAAACACATCCATGGCGCATCCTGGAGAGGGAGTGATCAGTGATGAATGCTCCACGTTTCCAGAGCCCTGAGAGGTTCTACTGGTTTTTTGGGGAGGCGAGAGGAACTTTTTACCCGTTACCTCTTATTTTTGTTCCTTCTGATTGATGGATGGTAGAGCCTTTCGAATAGGACGAGTTTGCAAGATGTAGTAAGATGGTCGATGATCCCCGAAAAAAATCTTCGAGAAAAGATGGTTAGGCTGGGAAAAAGCGCTTCTGCCGTTTGTGCAGGCTGTCATTCTATGCATTGAACAACCCATCTTGGCTCAGCATCTGCTACCATTCTATATTTTCACCTTTTTTATCGCCTATTCTTCAAACTTTCTGGGAATTTCTTGATTAGGTGAAGCTCATTTCTTTGAAGCCATTAAAATGTGCTGATTGGCATTAGAGAAGCTTCAGAACGTAGACAGAAATTGTTCGTAGGTTTCTTGCTTATCATTGGGGATAAGTGGTCAGGGATCAAGCCAGTAAGGCGTCTGCACCGATTTTGCATTTAGGATACGCCGTTCTTTTTGCTCTAGTCATAATTTGCAAAGCCATTTCGATCGATACACAAAGAAATTGGTAATTTTACAATTCCACACTCAATCTTGGCTCTCCAGGGTAAGATCAATGATAACTGACCAACGCCTGAGCTAACTGAGGAAGCCTGAAATGGGTTTGATAGACGAGAAGTGGAAAGCAGGCCGTACAAGCTTTCTCCCTACAATTACTTGTGATTCCAACTTCTCCTATAAATTTCCTTTTTTCCGTATTTCGTCCTTAAAGCTTTGGAAACCGTTGATTGATTTTTATTGATGATCTATTCAATACTCGCTTCAAGTCGTAATTTCGATTTCTTGAATGCAGAAGTACGGGTTCCAATAATGCCCGAGGCTAGCTTACCCATACCCTACCGGTTTTTCGAGGCTAGGGGTAAGAGCTTTACCGTTTACTGTTTACTTCCTTTTTGAAGTTGATACTTGATTGACCATATAACATTTATACTCACCAGAATGACAGAACAAGCCGGTACCACCTAGGAATCCAGACAATGCAGTTCATGAGAGTAGAGGAATAACAAATGGGCCCATAAAGAGTGGGGGTGTAACGGGTGGGGCGGGAGGGAAACGAAAGTGGCCCCATAAAATCTGTGAATGATGATGACGATAGAAGTGCAAGAGCTTTGAGCTCGTTCTAGGGATCAGGGATGGCCATAGCCCTTTTAATAGATCTTATTCAGCGGATGTAGTATGGAAAAGGTAAACACCCACTGTTATCAAAAAGAAACTGCCATTTTTTATTGATTGATTGACTATCTATCAATTTTTTTTGCTTATTGCTGAATTCAGCGTTCAGTGATTCTTCATTGAAGGATCGCCATCATCATTTGTATGGGGATATGTTTACGAATGGTAGGGTAAGTAGTAAAGTTGACGTGACCGTCATATGATCCGTTCTTGTCGTAGGTTTTTTCATCCGGGCATTTCCCATTCGCTCTCGCTCGCTCTCTCTCTGGGTATCATCATTGCTTTCCTGTCGTCTTTTCTTTTTCTCACTAGCCTCCCATGTGTTTGTGACGTCAGTTGCGATCGCACTTTTGATGTGTTGGAAGGCGGATTTTGTGGGTGGTTTTTTTCCCGAGCGGCTTTTCCGACCAAATGATGTCATCGGCAGTACAAATAGGTGCCACAGATCTCTAGTAGATATTATCTGCTGTATTCACAGGCCACCATGGCTGGACATGGTTCTATGCCTCGTAATCTCTCCTATTCTAAAGTGGCTAGAGCATTAGCTGGTGAAGAGCTGAGAGAACGTGAAGTAATACCGTTAGATAGAGGTCTTACTGCACGAGAAGAAGGACGTTTCGTATTCGAATGCGCTTGGGAAGTGGCGAATAAGGTGAGTTGAATTTGTTCTTAGAAAGTTACTTGTGGATTAAAGGTAATAGGTAGATTTGGCTATTGACCGGGAGCTTCTTCAGGGCTATTTATTATTAGCGTTTTGGGAGGTGGGCAAAACGTGGTCGGGAGGTCGCCATGACGTGCATCCTTGATAGACTCTCTGTGAATGCGCTATGCACCCTACATGACCATCAAAATTGTTCTGGAGTTCAGCTGAGTTTGTACTCACAACCTGGAATGGAATGGAATGAGGGTGGAATACGCCTTGTCATCTAACCTCGCTGAGAGTACCAATTCAGTGATTTCCGTTGGATCATAAGCTTCTACAAAGTATCGTAGTTTATGTGGTTCTGATGAACAATACGCGTGATTTGGATTTTAAAAAGCTTCCTTTATTCGAGCGCTTCCTCTTCTGGTCCAGCGCTTTTTCATAGAAAATGTGACCCTTACCATTGTGAGATGAAGGACCCCGAACTAGGAAGGCTTTAAATCTTTAGGGGTAGAAGGACCCCTTGGAGAGCTTTCCCCGTACCTTCAGGACCTCTTGAGAGTGATAAGATACACTTTTTGCTCATCAGCTCTTTTTGCCTTACGACTGCCCATTTAGATCGGTGGCATCTATACCGTACTGAGAAGTAAAGCCCAAATCAGTTGCGAGGAATTAGGTACGTTTATTTTATGCACATTCCTCCCGTTTGAGAATAGTAGTCAATCAAGTAGCGAGATTTTGTTCAGGAGACCAGTATTGTATGTTTGGTCCTATGAAAAATGATAAGTGGAGATTGGAAGTAGAGAAAGTGGAACCGGAAAACAGGTTTTTTCTGAAATACCCTCTCCCATAAATGGATCTACTACAGTTTTTTATTCCAGGACCATCAGAGCTGCAATTAGAAAGCTTCATGAGAGCGGATTTGAGGTATCTTCTGTTCTGATGACAATTTGGGCTTTTCATTGGGAGTGATTACCTTCACTACCTTTGCAGTGCATGTATGGCCGATGGCTAATCGATGGTTATCCAAAAGTGATACTTTTCGATTTGGGCTCTGGTGCTAAAAAAATGAATGAGTGGAAGCAGGAATTATTCGACAGGTAATGGATCTTGCATTTTCTTTCAATTTACAATCTCTTATTAACTCATGTGATGTGGAATGGGTATTGATTTCACGCGCAAGAGTAATCGATAGTTAGCCTCCGGCCATGGCAAGGAAACAAACATACTCATACATGCTGACAAGCCTAAAGTATTTGTGACTCACGTGCCTCTCCTGGGCGCATAGTGTGAAACAAAAATCGATTATGTCCGCGATCAACCAATACACGTTATCTGCAAACCCGCCAGTGGGCGGGACTTTGTGCAGAGGGCGTTGTTTCTTCCGCTTCATAGTTGTAGTATTTATGCCGTACATACTTTCATTACAGGTGTCGAATTGGTATTCCTCACGAAGATATCGAATCGAATGATGCAGTGATTCTCGGATTTATGGTGGCGATATTTTTGAAACATTTTAGAGAATCGATTGTCGACTATCAACCCCTAGTGGTTGCCCATTTCCATGAATGGCAAGCAGGTTGGTCTCTTTCCTATTCGGTTAGGGTTGCTGCCAAGTTTTGTTTTTTAAATGTAATTATTCTACAGGGGTTGGACTGCTTATGACACGACTTTGGAAATTAGACATAGCTACAGTATACACGACACATGCTACCTTATTGGGAAGGCATTTATGTGCTGGCGGATGTGATTTCTACAATCAGCTCGGCTCATTCAACCTCGATGAGGAAGCTGGTAAACGAAAAGTGAGTTTTCAAGTGTTCTAGCCAGAAGATAGGTATTGATTGGAAGGTCTACTTGCGGAGCGTGACTTTCGTGTTCATCTAATCAGAGATAAACCACTTTTATGCTCACCTTCAGACATATTTTTCGAAAGCAGCAGTCAAGAACAGATGTCAGAGTTTTTCGGACTTTCTGGAAGTTAAGAGATCAATCTTGATGAGACGTACTGCTCTCACTCAGTTCAAAGAGACTTTTCGTACTACGACTACCCGTAAAAAAAGATAAATTTGCTGAGTAAAAGTAATCAATAATCATCAAATAATTAATGAAATCCAAAAAAACAGCAAACATTATTTAAGAAATACTGATCGGATGTGGTTTTAAGTGGGGGACAGTCGAACGAATTCTTTTTTTCCTTGTTTTGGTTAACCTATTTTTGATTTCGACAAAATTATCCCTCAACTTCATTAGCCAATACGAAGCGAAGTATATAACTTGGGCCCTAAGGGCCTTTGTTCCCACTTAAACGATGCCTAATTTCAGATCTATCATCAATACTGCCTTGAACGAGCTGCATGTCATTCTGCTCATATCTTCACAACGGTATCTGAAATTACTGGATTGGAAGCCGAGCATTTGTTACACAGAAAGCCCGACATCCTAACTCCGAACGGACTCAATGTTTTTAAATTTGCTGCTTTGCATGAGTTCCAGGTGTTTAGACAGTATTAATTTGTATCTGTTTTTGTATTGATTATTTTCCAATGTTTTTATTTTTTTATTTTATTAGTTTATTTTTTATTATTTTTAGAATTTGCATTCAATGGCCAAAGAGAAAATCCACAATTTTGTCCGAGGACATTTCCATGGCCACTTGGATTTCGATTTGGACAAAACTCTATATTTATTTACTGCTGGAAGGTTTGTAAACAAATTGACCATTATTCGTTTTCGTTATGTTTTTCATAAT